TAGTGCGTAGTGGTGTCTGCATCGAGTTTTTTGTTTTGTTTCTATAAAAAGGGTTCTGTGGACGGCCCGGGGGAGCCTGCGGCGCCAGTTTAATCTGCGCCCCTCTTTATGGCCTGCGGCGCCTGGCTTGAGTTTGGAAGTGTAAACGAGTCCGCCAGGGCGGTCTGCAAACACGGAGCGCGCTGCGCGCGCGGTCTACGCCGATCTGGGGGCGGTATCGTGGTTCGCGCTGCCATCTATGTACTATGAGACATCACTAGGGGCTGGGGGGGCTCCGATCTCCCCATCTCTCCAGTACTCTCCAATCTCCAGCGAGCAGCGTCGCTACATCTTAGGCCGGATCCCAGTCAGATCTCCGATCTCCATCTCCAATCTCCAATCTCCAATCTCGATTCGGGTGCCCGGGGGGAGGAGGGGGGCTCAAACCTTCAAGGAGATGCGCTATGGATTCATTCACAATGCAAAAGGATCTCCACCCTCTTTTCGCGCCATTTTGCAATCTCCAGTCGGCCCACACGATCTCTCTAGGCGCCTTTGGCGCGAAGTCAGAATCTCCACCTCTGTGTCGCAAGATCTCAAGCGACTGCACGCACCAACTCGAGATCTCGGACTCCTCTCGAGCATCTACACCGAAGAAGATTTGCCTCCACCAGTTCTTCAATCTGCTGCTTCTCTTGGCAGGAGATTTGCCACTTATGAGATCTCTAAAAGCACCTACGATCTACAGTCCAAGGATCTTCCGATGTTGGGTGGAGATGTCCATGTATGCGACACCCCGCCGAGACGCCGAGAATTATACCACCCGCGGGTCGCGGCACGCGGGTTACTAAATATATGGGGTTACTATCTGTGACTGTGTATCTCTGTTCTCTCGCTCTGCTGCGCATCGCGCATCGGGTTCGGGAGGACTGGGGACTAGTTGCACAACAGATGACGTCAGCATCCGCCACACATAGCACACACTGTGTGAGGTGTGTGACTGTGCTGTGGACACGGAGTGGAGTCAGCGCGTACAGCGACGCGAAAAACTGTTACGAAGTCAAGGTGCCTAGCGCCCTCAAAAGACCAGGCAGGCTGGGCAGGGCTCGGCGGCACACGGCGGATGCTGTGCGTCACTGGGCCCCACAAATTTGGTTTCGGCGGCACCCTCGACCAAACCTTCCTCAAGGTTCTTGGGTGCAAAGAGCGCGGCCACAAGTCACAGGGCCCGCGCCGCTCGTCCATGCGACCGGCAAAGGCTGGGTCAAAGAGCACACAAGGGACAGTACTACGACGCGCTCCATGTCAAGACCGGAATCGTCAAAATGTCTCGTCGAAAGCCAGGGCGGCATCGCGCCGCCAACCAAGAGAATCATCTTCAACTTCAAAGAGGTCGGCAGCCCGAGCGCCGTCGACCGCACCGACTACGGCACAGCCTCCGGCAGCGCCCGGGGCTTCGCCCAGCACCACTCGCAACAGCTCTCTCGCGCCGCCGTCTGTGGCGATGCGCAAAACATCAACCCCTGCGCGCGGGCCTTCTAGGCCCGCGGGTAGTATCCCCCCATCCCCAGGGCCTCCAGGGCTCGCACCTCAACCTCTCACAGACCAGCGCACACAGCGCCATAGACGTATTTTCTTCTCAATAACAAGGCTGTGAAGTAGGACCTTCCTTAGGTCCGCCTCTCACACCCTCACTGTCTGCGATGGACGTTGATGTGAGCTTCTTGTTTTTCTTATCAACCTATCTCTGTGAAAAACGCATTTAAACGGCTCCCCTCTTATACCTCTAGCTCGTCTAGGCGGGCCCGGGGAGGTTTGAGAAAGCCGCAGGAGAGCAGCTGCAGGATGAGGGTGATCGGGTGGGGGTGATGGCCGGGTTATAATATGGCTGTAATGTTGTTAACAACTCTTAGGAGCCGTAATCCTTTCCGACAGTGCAGGCCGGACCCTCGCCGCGGAGCCGCGCGCTCTCTCTGATCTCGTCTCCCCCCGCCTCGCGGGCGCTCTCCGGCACGCCGCCGCCGCCGCCCCCA